CATGGAGGGCTTTATGGGTGACTAGTAGCACCTTGAAGCGCACCCGGAGATCGACAGGTAGCCAGCGCAGCTCGCGGAGGATATCCTTGCAGGCCTGATTCCATCTGGGGATTACAGCTTGTCCCTCCCTAATTTAAAATAATTCAGGAGCTTCTAGGTTTCGGCTGGTTAGAGGTTAAAAACATTCACTCCACAGATCTCATCTTGGGATTTCCTGCCCTTCCTCAGTGAGTCCTCTGGCACCAGTCCAAGGTCATGCATTTCTACCTAAGAAACCAACCCTCCACAGGTACTCAATCTCTCCATCTCTAGAAGCAGTTCTGAGAAATACCGCAGGTGAGAAAATGGGCTAAAATATCCTAACCGTAACTGCCTTAATCTTGTTCTTTATTGTCTGCTCTGCAATTGTATATCAGATTTAACTCTGGGCAGGTGGCCTAAAGAATTATGGGAGAGATCTTTTGAAGCATTGTTCTTACCTGAAAGCAGAGACAAGGATACACCTGCGAGATTGGTAAAGTCACATTCTCCGATCCAGCCTAGGTTAGGGGGAGATAGGAAACTGTGAGTAAATCAGGGTGTACTACTTCACAGATGTTTTCAGGATACTAGAATTCCTAATTTTTTTGTTTTTATTTCATTTATTAAATTTATATACCACCCATCTCGATTAAAATTAAATACATATATGGCTACCCATCCTATATTCCATAATTCCGGGCAACTCACAGCAACAGTGATAAAAAACATAAAAGAAAAAGAAAGACTAGTATCCAAGGAACATCTTCTAGCAGCCCCTAAAAAACATACCCCAATATATAAATATCGCAACCACTGGGCTCCAGCTTCACTTTAGTCTAATACCTAAAGGAAAAAGACACTTTTTAAGGCCTTAAAAGGAAAGGTGAGCAAATGAAGGCATATATGTGTGTCTTGGGATAATGTTGCGGGATCCAATCTGGGTAGGCCACCAAGACCAGAAGTTCAGTCTTCTAAGCTTTTGGATTCATGCTGGAGACCATCCTCATTTTTCTCTCTCCAAAATGTGTGTCCTGGGCTGTTATATGCATTCTATGTGGTGGTTGGTTTTGTTTTGCTTTTAGTTGTTAATTGATGTGTTGTTGGCCGGCTATTAAATCATTGGTTGTTCTTTCCTTGTGCTCCTAGGCCCTTGGCTCCTAATTACTTGATGAGCTGGTAGTAAATCAGCACCCCTGTTGACTGACAAGGGCCCCGTTTCCCAGGCTTCAATCAATTCCTGGGCTATTTTTGTCATTGCTCGGCCAACAAACTTAGTAACTGTGAAACCGAATGTATGTTCTTGTTCTCTCCAATGTGATGCTAGTAATGAGCTTGGGTGAATGGCCGCTGATTTCAAGGAGAAGGATGTTCCATGGGACAGAGGCTACTATGGAGAAGACTTGCTTCACAGTTGTGGCTAGATGACAACAATTAAGGGAAAGGGCCTGGAGCATGCCATCCTATCTGATCTGATGGAGTGGGCAGGCATCCCTTCTCAGGGAGAAGCAGTCAATGGTGGGATTCAGCCAGTTTGGGCCGGATTGGGCAAAACAGCTGTTAAATTGCTAACTGGCCCACCCCTTCCAGGATTCCCCCCTCCCAGCCCGTTTTGGCTCCCAGGAAGCTGCAGAGAGGCCTACTAGGCCCAAAATGGGGCACAGGCGGGGAGTGTGGTGTGGCCCCCTCACAGCCTGTGTTTGCTTCCAGGAGGCTGCAGGGAGGTCTACTAGGCCCAAAATGTGGGGGGCACCCCCCTCATGGCCCATTTTTGCTGCCAGGGAGGTGCAGGAGGCCAAGTGCTGCCTATTACATCCACTGGCCATGCCCACTATGGCCAGTCATTAGGGCAAAGAGCCAGTTGTTAAATTATTTGAATCCCAAAACCGGCAGTTCACAGATAACTTTATAGCTGTTACAATAAAAATAGTCCTGGATGGTATTAGTTTCTTAGTCTGGTCTACACTTATAGGGCTGACACTTGCTTTTTCTTTAGGCTGAAATAACAACTGTTTCTGATTTCCATCTCAGTTGTCTGATTTCAACAAGAAGAAACATCTTGTTATCCTTAATAACAACGATGGGAAATCCCTTGATTTTAGTCATTCTTTCCTTGAGTTAGGAATAAAACCCTGGAGATCTGATTCCCTGAAGCTCCATAGCATCTTCATTTGGAGGCAGTAACAAAATGAGCAAGGTTTATATGCATCCAAGAAAAAAAACAATATGCAGGTAGTCCTCGTTTAACAAGCACTTGTTCGGTGACAATTCAAAGTTTCAATGGCACTGAACGGGTGGTACTTTTGACTTCCAGCAATCACATTGTCTCTGCAGTCATTGTTCTGACCCAGGCTTCCCCAAAAAGCACGAAGCAGATTCCTGGTCCCGACAAAGCCCCTTTTTATTAAACGAATGTGAATTCCTCTCATTCACATTCAGCAAAGGCCTGGTAAACAATATTTCAAAGGTGAATTGATGACCACAGAGATTATCTAGCTTGGAAAGCTGCCATGTAAATATTTTCCAAAGGCAGAGCTGTCCAAGGAAAGACTTGGCACAGAGTCTCTGTGATTCATGAACAGATCTTCATACTTCTGAAATGAACTAAGAAATGAACGAATTGTTTCCTCCAAAAGCCCACTCTTCTTTCACTCCTCTTTTATTTCCTATTGGAGGGTTCCATTTACCAATCACCTGTGGCTTTACTCCCAAATCCACCCTGATTTCTGAGCTGTTCTTTTCTTCTCGCAGCTCTGCGCATGCGAACAGGCTCCAGCTGTTCCTCTGCCTCACTGCTGTCTAGCTCTGGAGGCAGCTGATAACTGTCAGACAGCCCTGGCCCCCTCTCTGCCTCCGATGCAGAGCCCTCC